ACACGGACAAACTACGGCGGTGGAAGCAAAAAGTCTGAGGCGCGAACTTCTAATTAGGGTTGAGGGTTTAGGGTTTAGGGTTTAGGGTTTAGGGTTTAGAATAGGGTTTTGGGGTATATTGTAGTATCATTATAATAAGGGGCCCCCCCAAAACCCTATTCTAATCCTTAAGGCCCCACAGTCGCTTTACTGTTGATTTCTTTGAGCTTAGGGATTCAGGGTATTTCGGCTCTGAAGGTTTTCATTTTCGAGTTTAGGGTCCGCCATTTTAGGATGTTGATGAGTGTTGGTATTGAGGGCGTCATAAGGGTTTAGGGTTTAGGGTTGAGGGTTGGTATTGAGGGCATCATAGGCCTGACAGCTTGCGGACGAGAGCCGAATTTCCTGCGCTGTGGCCTCGAATGCTCCGCCTTCACAGCTCGTAACATGCACAGGTTCTTTGGCAAGCCCCCTGCAAGGCTCTACTTGGAGGATCATGGGACTTAGTAAGTAAGGTTATAAGTCCCCTAATTGGGGTTATAAGTATAGTTACCTTAGTTATAACCCTACTTGCTAAGTCCCATGATCCTTTAAGTATAGAACACTCCTAAACCCTAAACCCTAAACCCTGAACCCTAAACCCTAAACCCTAAACAGATAAACACACTGGAAAGCAGCCGCTCCCCTTCCTAGCCTTAACCCTAAACCCCAAACCCTAAGCCCCCAACCCTCCAACCCCGAATCTCGACCCTCAAGTGTAAACACTAAAAACCCTCAAAGCTCTATAATCCCTAAACCAGAGCCCTAAACCCTAACTCTAAGCCTTGTAATCCCGAAGCCCTAAGCCTCAGATTCTGACTCCAAGGCAAGGATCCCATGAAAATCCTGAACGTGCAGCGCCTTGGTGGGCTTTGGGCTTCAGGGCCCTTTTTGGGGTCCCTAGACTTGTCGGGTTTAGGTCAAGGGTCTTCGGGTTTAGAATAGGGTTTAGGGGGCTTTTTGGCTTCTTTAGGGCTTTTGGGGTTTATGGTCGTTTTGGGGTCTTCGGGATTTGTTTTTGAGGGGGCGTGGTGCAGGACTCATCCGGCGCCTTGGCGTCCTTCCTCTTTTTCGGCTCCCTGTCAAAGAGCATTAGGGTTTAGGGTTTAGGGTTTAGGGTTTAGGGTTTAGGGTCTTGGCTCTCTGGCTCCCAACTCTGGAAGTGGCAAAACAGATTCACCTTGAGGAAACCCCAAACCCCACAAGCTTTCCTACAGCGAAGCCTCGCAGCCGCTCGAAACCTCACCCGCCAAACCCATGGTGTGGGGTAGTACTGAGAGAAGGAATGGTGACATGTCCCACGCTTTCTACCCCAAACCCAACTCAACCAAAGGCTAGAAGTTCGCCCAAAGGCATCGGTGTCTGGGGGAATTCCATGTTCACAACAAGCAAACCTAAACCCTAAACCCTAAACCCTAAACCCTTAAACTCCGGACACCAGCCGTCGGAACCCAAGCCCTGGTCGGACTCTGCAGACACTTTTCCTTCTTGGGAGTTTCAGAAAATTAGGGTACCGTATTTTGGGGTCCTTACAATAGGGATCCTATTATTTAGGGTACTATATTAGGGTCCCTATTTTGGGAAACCCCCTCTTGTCAAAGGATCGATGACATCACCGCGCCAGTCGCCAAGGAGGTGATCCCGCAGCGCATGCAGAACATGAGACTCTTTTGATGTTTCAGCGGCTTGTGGCTCTGCGTTGCTCAGTTTAGAAGTAAGTTTGAGGTTGTGTTGTTTCTATGTGTTTTTTGTGTGTTTTGGGGGGTCCGGCTTAGAGTCCAGGGTCCTTGGTCTCTCGTGGCTTCAGCCGAATGGGGCTGGCCTAAGCCCGAAACCCTGGACTCTGCTCTTTGGGGCTCTAGAGTGGATACCCTAAACCCTAAACCCTAAACCCTAAACCCTAGACCCCAAACCCTAAACCCCTAAGCCCCAAACCCTCAACCCTCAACCCTGAACCCTATCTTACGGAAGCTCGGCCCATACACAGTGGACGCAGAACTAGGCTAGCAGTAAGGGTTTGGGGTTTAGGGTTTTGGGTTTAGGGTTTAAGGGTTCTAAGACTCATGAGGGCAGCAACCAATCAGCAAGAAGTCGTCGTACTCGTAGCGACAAAAACATGTCATCGGATGTCTTGCAGTGAGATGCGCTTATAAGTACTGAAGATGAACATCTCTACACATTCGTAGTGGTGATCTTACTGAGAATGCCAATACTACAAGCAGCAGTCTTCTTGGTACAGGTCATATTTGTGTTGACAGGAGTAATACCCTAAACCCTAAACCCTAAACCCCTAAACCCTAAACCCTGAACCCGAATGCTGAGTAGCTGAGGAGGAAGATTGCTAGCGACGAGGATCTCGGCTCCTTGGAGACAAGAAGGGCTCATACGGATCGGTAGAGTCTACATTGGGCTTTAACGATGTTCGAGAGGCGCTGGAAGGTGTTGACAGAGCTGTATGAAGGGCGTATCAAGCAGAGTTAGGATCCGTGAGCTGGTACGGCGCTGGTCAAGAGTTTCCAGTATGTGCCTAATACAAAGCCGAATAAGTAAATAGTCGTCGCCGTCGTGGTAGCTGCACCTGAAGTTGCTCAAACCTCCAGGCCAACATCCTGAAGCTTAAATAGGTAAACACGGGATGACTCTACCCTAAACCCTCAACCCTAAACCCTAAACCTTCAACACTAAACCCCAAACCCTAAACCCTAAACCCTAAACCCCAAACCCCAGTCTCACGACTAGGCGGCACCCTGAGCCTTGACGATTTCGGCGCGATGGTTGGGGACCGCCTCAGCGAGGATCCTTGGGTTCTGAGTCTATTGGGTTTATATGGGTAGTTGTCAAAATTATGGTCCGTTTTGGGGTACCCTAAATAATAGCTGCCGTATTAAGAATAAGGACCCAAAAAGGGACCATAATTTTGACAACCACCCATATGGCTTTGGGCGGTTTGGGGTTTCTAGGTTGTGGACCAAGTCTAGTATATACAGTGTTTTATGGTCTCGAGCGAAGATGTTGTTGCTGTTAAGGTTCAGCTCTATTCCCGAGTATTTCTATGCTTGTAGATATGCTGGTTGTTTTTAGTGATGTTCTTGTTGGTTAGGCTGTCATCTTGTACTCGTGGTCGTTGCTGTAGGTGATACGCGTATTCTGATTTCCATGAGCAGATAGATGCATGCCTAGACGCACATACATACAAACCCCTACATATACGTGTATAAATAAATAAATATATATATATATATATACATACACGTACATACTATGTATATATATATATAGACACATACACACACACACACACCCCCCATATATATATATATATATATATATATATATAGGCTAAGTCCTCTTGCTTACGGGCCCTTCGGGGCGAAGAGGATCAGAAAGCCGAGTAGGGAAAGCTCTACCAGTACGACGCCGGTGGCAATTACACTGCTCCATCGCATCGTGGATTTCTGAGGCGAGTGAAGAAGTCGTCATGATCATCATCAGTATACTGTTCATCATCATTATCATCATCATCGTCATCGTCATGATAATCATGATCATCATCATCACCATCATCATCACCATCGCCATCATCATCATCATCATCATCATCATCATCAGCAGCATCATCGTTATTATCGTCATCACCATTACCATCGTGATTATCGTTGTCATCAAAACGTAATGGTCATCCTCGTCATCGCCAGCTTCAATGAAGCCGACACGTGACAGTCAACATCGAATCCCTAAGCCCCAACCCAAACCCCACGATGCCATCCTCAAGCTTGAATGCCAAACCCGAAGCAACAAACCCCCAAGCCCCAACCACCTTTCCGGGAAACCGAAAGCAACGGTGCAGAGGAAGAGGTCCAGACGATCTTCAACCAGCTATCTGGCGGAGGGGCTGAGGCTTCGGTGGATGCGGCTGAGCAGCATTGGCGAAGTTTGCAAGTTCGGGTTAGACTTATGATTTGGGGTTTATGGGTATCAGGAGAGAACCGCTAGACCCGACGTCCCGTGCTTGCATCGCCAAGGCTCATGAAAGCTATCTTCCCGACTGAGGCCCTCTAGCTTCAATTTACCAGGGCTGGTGATCTTTGGAATAGGAAGGCAAAATAAGGACCGCCCAAAGTGCCGGTAGCTTAGAGCAACCTTGACTCAGTCTTTGTCTCGCCGGAATACTTATCTTCGAGCTGGAGGCCAGATGCGTTCAACTGCATTTTGGGGCCTTATCCTTTGACCCTAAACCCCCAACCCTAGACCCTAACCCTCAACCCTAAACCCTCAACCCTAAACCCTTAAGGTGTTGAGGGTTTAAAGGGTTTAGGGCTTTGGGTTTCAGGGTTTAGGGCTTTAGGGTTTAGGGCTTAGGGTTTAGCCTGTAGGGCTTTAGGGTTTAGAGGGGTTGGGTGTAGGGTCTAGGGTGTAGGGTTTAGGGCACAGCGCCCCAAGGCCTTGTTGAACCTCACGTCGGATGAGAGGAGCTGCTCCGACGCACGAGCCGGGGCGAGGGTCTGTAAGTAAGGCAACAGGCCGGTTCTTCAAGGATCATGAGACTTTGTGACTTAGTAAGTAGGGTTTAGGGTTTAGGGTTTAGGGTTTAGGGTTTAGGGTTTAGGGTTTAGTACTTCAAGGATCAGCCCTCGTTAATGTAGGGACCTTACTTAAAGGGTCATGGGACTTAGTAAGTAGGGTTTAGGGTTTAGGGTTTAGGGTTTCCTCCAAGTAGGGTTTAGTTTGTTGGTTTCGTTTGTTGAACTGGTTTTTGGTCTTTTCTGGTCAGGTTCTGCGGGTTCTTGGAGTAGGGTTTAGGGTTTGTGGCCTGTATCCAGAAGTCCTGAAACCCCACCCTCCAAACCCCAAGCCCCAAAACCCAGCACGGCAAGGCGACACTTTGCAGGCCTTAATGCGCGAGACGTAACGTGATGGGTTTTAGAATGAAGGGTGCAGTGTTTAGGATCTAGAGCTTAGGGTTTGTGGTTTCTGGCCTGGGGTCGAGGGCGCATTCAGGATCTTAGGCCGGACCCGACTCATCCGAAACGGCAAGGTATTCTGGCGACAGACTTCCTGCAACGCTTCGAGATGCTCGAGACTCTGAAGTACCCCGTGCTGGTCTCGAACATCCAGAGGACCAGTGCTCCCTAAACCCTGAACCCTAAACCCTGAACCCTAAACCCTAAACCCTAAACCCTGAACCCTCAAGCCCAGGATAAATAGAAATTGTTTAGAATCCTGCATCA